GCTGTTTCCGGTAAAACGTATATAGTCACCTTCCCCCGAAAAATTGCCAGTTGTCGGTTGTGAACATGCTTCCTCGTAATTGTGGACAAGAGACTCAACCTCAGGAGGTGCTAAGACCTGGTTTAACGTAACTATGTGCAACCGTCGCAGTAGTCAAGTATTTGGTCTATACCCTTCGGCGATGTATATTAATTCGTTTGGCATCAAATCCTTGTATGAAACGCTCACATTTTGCGGAAGAAAACCATCGTCAATCAAACAAAAAGCCTCAAGCTGTCAGTCGAAGTCACTCAATTTTATTTGTTAGGAGTAAACAAATCTGGCGTCGCTCGTCCTGTCAGGCCAAATGAGCTTGGTTCATCTACACGAGTACCATGCTCCTGATGTCATTGGTAACTAGTAAGCTTTTAGGGAGCATCTTGATCATCCAGCTCACTTAGGAGAAAGTGGATCATCCCATTGGAATCAGGTGGAATTTTGGATTTCATGAAACTCTTAGCTAACTACAAATGCTCTGGGAAAAAGGGGTCACTCAGTAGTCGCACACTGCAATCGGATCTCGAAAGCCACGGCATTTTAAGGCTTGCCACTTCCTAGTGTAGAATGTCTATGTATAATGTATGTGTTCCTGTATTATTGAAATGATCTACTATGGCGATTTGTTTGAGTGAGCAATTTCTCAAGGTCCGTGAACACCACCGACTGATTACGTTATCCAATGCAATAAGCAATTGCGAATAGTGGAAAAACGTTGACTAACTCACAATGGACGGAACTTTCCAGCTGGAATAACTCCCTGAACATACTTTAATCTGCATGGCCCTTATGGATGCGAAAATGCAGAGGTGCATTTCTGTAAAAAAAACTCTTTCTCGAGTTGCTTTTGCCAGTTAAAATCCCGTAGTGTACGTTCATTATTGGTAAAAAACAGTCGTGCAAGATTGTTGGTAAACAGCTGGTAAACAGTTTTCCATAGAGTTGGCGAATGATACTAGGAAGGCTTCGACGTTAATCGATTAGCTACGTGGAACCTACGTCAGACATAGCGGACAGCTGAACGAACTTAGCTAACGCACACGGGGTCCACTATGCCTAATCAGCTGGCCGAAGCACGCCTATCCATCTGTACCGGAGAAAAAAATCAAAATAGACGACAAAACATGTTGAGATATATTGGTCGTTTTGATGGGTACATTTGTCCTTCCCGGAGGCGCATGATCTTTGTGAGGAGTGTTCATTTGGCGGTTGGCTTTATGAACTGAAATATCACCATAAGGCGGGCGGCTGACAAACTGGTGGGAATACATACCGCAAAATGCACATCAGCGGCTTTTATGTCGCAGATGCTTGTTCACACAACACCAACCTCAGCTTCCATGTCGCATGCATACCTACTGCACCCGTCAAGAAATACGATACTTACACGCAGCGCATGGGGTCTCATTACCAGGCTAGCTGTCTGGAGCTGGTGGGTCATATGAAGTCATCTTCGTCCCTTTATTCTACCTGTTGGTCTACAGCATTTGTTGCAGTTGTCAGACATTTGCTGACGGCTGTCGAATAGTTCCACCTCGGACACGAAAACACGAACGCACACGGGTTTCCGGGACACATTGTGCTGAGATTTGAACTTCGGTGCAGGTCAATGTCATAAGACACCCTCTGTGGACCCAGTAGTAAGTACATCTTTGCGTTTTCTAAATAGACCGTTCCGTACTGTGTGCTTATGGCCCATTTTCAGGCCCAAGATAAGAAATCAATCGATGGCCAGTGCGGCGCAGAAGCTGTAGGTGTTACCGGAATCTGCGTGCTTGCAATGCGATAAACAAGAAACCTACTGTAAAGAGTTGTCTAGGCAAACCAGGCGGTGAAATATGTGACCGTTGTTTGCAGAACGTGTTCATGACCAAAAATACACGGATAGTAAATGATACGTACGTGCTTTCCGGTGGCTGTTCGGATATAAATATAGCTAAACATGATATCACAGCCCAACATGATTCCTGTGGCACGCAGTTGCGCCGCCGACTTGTCCGTAACAAAAGTCTCAACCGGATAATTTTCGCCCATCATTTTCTTGAATAAGTCGGACAGTTTACGCATGGGAGCAAACTGTTCGCTCTCTACGAATTCATACATAACCGAACGCCCTGGTGTCATATCATCCGTTACCAAGACGGTGTACACGTTACATCCACAAATAGAATATTAGGTGTTTGAAAATTACTTATCCAAGGCGGTTTTTCTATACGTTATGTTTGCATTCTTTACATCTGGAAAGCGTGGGAACAACGCTGTATGCTGCCATCGGGGAGATGCATATGTGGCCAAAGTGACCCCTCTCTGACTGCCACACAACCACGCGTCTGGTCTCCCAAATGTTTGCCAGGGCTAAAGGCATAGCATCTGCCAGAATAAAACACAACTATGCAGCGCCTACACAAAAAAGCCTGTCAACACCTCAGGCGGTAGTCGTATATATCTTCAGTGGTAAGAATCTTGCCGAAGTCATCGGTGACAAACTGCCGCACCGCAAATGACAGCACTCCATAATTCAGAAGCGTTTTTCAGGCGTCCAACTCGTCTTTGGTTAGTCGTCAATTGATCGAAAGCCAATCATGCAAAGCTTTGGCAAATTAGGGTTGTGTTCAAGAAACTAAGAGGTGACCGCCAGTTGGTTCCCTTGCCTTCATAGACGAAACCGCACTGGACGGCCAGTGCTTCGCATACTGTCTTTGTATTAACGGATATGCTCAACTTACAGGCTTTTTCGTATTTCCCGACTATCGGCTGGTCTTGAAGGTCACCTGCTGCATTTGTAGTACACCCATTCGTAACGCAAAATAGCCCTAATGCTTCGACTACACTATGATTGCACAAATACCGCATAGTTATCCTTCACGTATTGAGTTATTGCCTTCTCAAATGCCGTGAACGATGAAAAGGAAACGGTCCCAAACTTCCCAACAAGTGCTTGTAAAACCACTTCTGAAGCCACAGCACAGCAAGCTCAACGTCAAATATGCACCAAAAATTCCGAAAGGAGATCAGAAAAACAAATCGCAAAAAAGTGACGGCGGATGAGGGTGATATTTGAACTAGGCACATATGAAAAGAAATGCAACATTTTGACGTAAAAGTTTTTGTTTCACCCATAAGGGTTTTGCAAAAAATGCATTATACATCCAAGATGCGGTCAAAGAGAGTGATAGTTCTCAAGGTCTTTGGTGTCCCCGGGCCTCGAAACGAGCGAAAAGTAAGAATTCTCTTAGTTTATCAAAAAACCTGCTAGAAAATTGGTGTGACAATTAAAGGCTGACAATATTGGCGACTTCACATTACGAAGTGGGCTTTTGTGAGGCGATATTTTCATGCGGCAATGAAGTCACCGAGTCATTTTAAAAGCCTTTAAGATCACTCTCAGTAGGTTCAGTGAAGAGCAGGCTTCAGTCAGTGCAAACTGTCCCTAAAAACAAAGCAGGAGTGAGGATAGCACCCCCTCATTGCCTAGGATGTCTTCCGCGTCGGTAAAACCTTTCACTTGGTTGTTGTTATTTTTCACTGTTCTAGAATAGCCTGAAAACGCTCGGTCACGTCTCTTGTCTGCTTGTTCTATGAGCTCTTTGTGGTGCTCCACTCACGCTGAAGGCGATTTTGCTTCATCAACATGGGCGAGTTTAAGGGGCCCAAACACACTATTCGTTGCCAGTATCTCCCCGATTGCAAGCTCAGATCTCAAAGAAACTAACATTTGGGTGCGGGAACTACATGCCAACAAGTACAACATCGCCAGCAACTCCTTAAAATCCCCGGTGTATCGGACATGCGACAAGTAATATGTCTCGCAATTCTTGTTGCGCATGACGTTACTGCGAACAGATGGAACTCATACATCCATACGAAGACTGGCGCTGACGTTCACACACGGGGTGGTCAAAGCAGAAACGTTTTACGCAAGTTGTCAGGCCGCTAAAACCTAGTCCTCTTTGTGCGACTGGACGCAGGGGAGCGATGTCCTCTGCAGCGCAGCCTGCAGGACAAGTGGTAGAGTTTAATCTCACAAGGGAATAATTGGTGAACAGCTGACCGGCCCATGGAAATGTCTACGAACTCAGTTCCTTGCCACGTATGTCAAATTGGCCACGCCGCCTGATGGAAGGGAAACCTACATTTATCAGCACAAACGTCAGCTCTGTGTGTTCCTGGTGGGTTTAACCAGAAACCGCGAGCTGGTCAACAGATATATCTACCGTTGTCAGTTCTAGTACAATGACATTTCAGTCTCGACGGTCGCAACGCCAGATGCCTCAAATCACCGAAAGATGAGTATATAGTCGCTCGGAGAGCAACATCTAGAAGGTGACTGTTGCCCACCTCTTTAATCACAATGGCACGTGTGTCTTATATTCTCTTTCGGAAAACTTATTTCGCTGAGCGATCCTCCGCATGACACGAACAAGAATGTCAGATTAGTATGCTCACTTTTAAGCGACCCTTTATTTCCCACCTATTGTTGTCGGTCGCGCAACCAGGGCGCACCATTTCTCATTGTGTGGGAAGTTCGCTTACGGGTGATATACAACCAGTGGACTATGAACTAGGAGGCGTCGTGCGATGCATTATATCCAGGTTGTGACATAACATGTCTGATGTTAACCCAAAACAAAATTCAAACTCTGCACCCCACTGTCAAGGCCGGCACGCGGTGGAATGTGTCGGTTTTAGGCGCAGGGCATACATAGCCCAAACACACTGACACCCTTTAGCAGATACATATATGCAGACGGCTTTACTTACATAGAATGACGTAGCATAAAGCCACGGTCGGATGAAAATACAATTACCCACAGTTGTTCCACCATTTGTTTCATCACAAAGGTTCTCGCACGAAACTATGAATGCTCGTACTCCCTAAGCAAGCAACATAGTTTTTCCATAGGTAACTGCTTCCTTACTAACAAAGCGTACAGAACCGCCCGACATTTGTTCATGCCATACCAATGAGTTATCAGCAAGGTACGGTCCCGTGTGTTCCACCGACATTCAACATTTTTGGGAAACATGAGGATGATCTCATGTGCTTCCTTCAGGCGAAGCACATGTGGACTTGCAATTCTGCCCACGAATATGCCGCTATCGCAAGTCCGAACGCTCGAATCCCGGCTACAACCGATGCTTCATCTGTCTCAATGAAAACGCAACCGGTAGATGCTTAACGGAGTGGGTTGGAATTCCGGATTTTGTTGTGTTTCCACTGAGTGGTGTGGTGGTCCGGCTACCTAATTATTAATGCTACCAGAAGTGTGGCGAAAGAATAAAAGTGATAACGCTAAATCGCGTATATACTGATAAAGAGGGATGAAACAGACTCATTATTGATTGCTCTCTTCAAAAAGGTTCGTCGTTGGCCTAGGTCAGCGGATAGACTATAATCCAATTATAGTTGTCCGGGGGTCCTCTTCTAGGCAGATCCCACGTATAATACATATCCCGAAGACAGTCTAAAAAGTTTTGATACCAGAGTCAGCGCACGAGACTCCCGAATGACCGCTGTAAGCGCGAGCAAAGCGCGAGAGAGAGTCGGAGCAGTTGACCACGTTTGTTTTGCGTGAAATTGCACAAGTGCGTGTTTTTGTATTTTCCGTATTCAAACAAAAAATGGTTATGCAATTGACAAAGTGCGTAATGTAATAATGGAAGCAAAATAAAGGTCCAAAACACTACTCCTTTACCAGAGCGCTGACCGCGTACGGGGAAAACGCTCGAATAATGAAAATATTGATTGAAAAAGTTGCTTGAATAAAGTTTCATATTTAGGTTAGTGCTGTGGGAAACAGGCGCGTCGTCCCGAACGATCAGTGAAAAGAGCGAGTTTGGCGGTAGGGTTATCTTGGGTTATGAGTGCGGGTGTTGTTGTGATAGTAGGATTGCTGTACGTGGTCATGGGTATTTCACTGAAGGTAGTGGGGGAGAAGTGTGGTGTTATGGGCTTTTATTTTGCTTCCAATATAAGATTACGTGTTCTTCAATTGCATGACTGTTTTATGATTGAATGCGACGAAATAAAAAAAACTCGCACTTGTACAATTTCAGGCAATTTAAACGTGGCGAGGTTCTTTCCGAGCCAGTCGGACACGAGGTACCACGCTCCAGACTCCGTGTTTAATGTTCGGGTAACGGGTTGTAGGTGCCCAACTGTCATATAGTAAGCCGTCAGATTACGTGCGGCGATCGCACAAAACTTAGCCATTTTATGGCTTTGGACGAAATGTGACGAAGTACTGGGGATAGCCGCTGCGCCTTCTGAGACAAAACCGGGTGAGGTAGACAGTGCTCCGCTCTACTGTATGTTCTCAGTAAACACGTAGAACTTACTAGCTTTTTCTTATCCTTCGTCCCTGACATGGAATTCGTGCCCGCCTTCTGCATCTACCCACATCGCGGAGAAACGTTGTCGCTGATTGCGTTCACAAAGGCCATATAAATATCCTTCATGCGGCTAGCACAGACGTCTTCAAAGTATCTGAGGGGTGGAAAATGCAACAAAACAGTTAACAACGAAAACCTCCTCCGAAAGTGACCATAAACCTATCTGAGTTCAGACAGTGCATGGCAAATTTTGAAATTCGAAAATGCACTGACAGTTATGGTGGCGCTAAGTTTTCGCGCAATGGAATTGATGGACTCAAGCAATCGAGCAATTGAGTTCAGAGTGCTAGTCGAAACGTTTGAGCCCCATTTAGACATCCCAGGATCTCAGCGATGCTGTAAAATTTCTCCACCAAACCTTTCCGAATGAGGTATGATTGCCTCAGTTGACAACGAATTTTGGTGACCTGCAAAGTTGTGAACGTAAATAAGGGTGCTTTTTGGTTTGAGCACGTACGCAACAAAATGCAGCATTTTAGCACAAGATGTTTCACTCCATTGGAAAAGGTCTTGCAGCCGAGAGCATTGTGCGGCTAATGGGCGCCCAGTCATGACAATTGATCGATTCTGTAAATTTCAACAGGAGTCTTTTCACACGAGGAACTATTCTGTATGGGTCAAATATGCGGAGGAACGATGTTTTGACGCGGTTTACGTTCATCACATGAGTTTTTGGGGGAAATAGCATGTTGGATAAGGATGAGTTCAAGAATGCTCGTGTTTATGGACAACTTAACCCAGGCCAAGGACGAAGGACTCATATCGGATGCCATATTTTTCGACTTCTCAAAAGCCTTCGATAGGGTCCCACACGTCCCGCTGCTCCA